TGATCGATGAGATGGAGATGAGAAACTTAAACTTCCTTGGCGGTGGTATCGGCAACAACGACAGAACGTAGGAGGTGATTGAAACGCCATTTAAACAGTCAACGGTCGCCGCAAAGAGGTTATTCCAGCAAACATTTGGTCGCCAGCGGCTGACAGATCGACAGCATTATCTTCGGATAATGATGAAGTCAGCAGCATCAGTCACAGCAGTGGTGTGTTACTCTGATGACAACGATAGTAATGGTGCCTCGGTATACCAAAAGCCTATTAGTATCCTCACCTCTCTGCCATGATCGCTCTCGTTTCACCAGCATCCTCCTCTAGAGGGCAAAATTCTGGATTCCTCAGACCTCTTCGCTTTCGTTTATTCACCAACGCCCATTAAGAGGAGAGTGTATATATCACGTAGCAATACTGGAAGCTGTACGGATAATGTTGGAATGCCGCCTAGTGTGGCTACTCAGGTCAGCCCTGCCGCTGTAACATGACTCACCATTATGAAAGTAGCTATGAGCATAGACAGCAAACAGCAAAATTAAAATATTTTATGAATTCGCGGGGGCCAAAAAATTTCCTTTTACTCTACTGATACCATTGGCAAAATGGGGTCTTTTATGCTAGTGCACCTCAATTTTAACTATTAGCCTAACAGCTGATGATGTTGTAACAGCCTTCATTTCATCAACTCTAAGAAATCGTGGCAGCAGAGGCAGTAGGGAAGCATTCCACTTCGATACTGGGGTTTGCTTTCGCTTTTGCTTTTGCTTTCCCTCGTTACCAGAGCGTTTGGTTTTGCTTATAGTGACTTTAACAGATTCATAACCCCAACTTTGATCCTTTATTTAACAGGAAGGTTTATTTCTGGCAGAAGCGGTGGCATGCATCAGGGTCGCTTTCAGGTCAGTCAGGCGTCGGCAACATCACTAATCATGTTATGTCCAGGCTAACGTCCTACTATGCGAATATTTTTCCATATTTTACTAGCATTTTTTAAGGTTCTCTCATGTTATTGTCGGTAGCATAGTTTGGCCGACCACAGAAACCGTCTAGGCTAATTATAGATATAGCTGCTGCTCTAAATAGGGCAGCATAAATATCATCGGAGTCTGCCTTTGGTAGAAAAGGAACTGTCAAGGCTTCAGTTTCCTAGTGGTAGAGAAGATACCCCCAAAAAATTCAGGACAGCCTTAGTGCTGCGTGGGAAACCGCCTTCAAAAATTACGTCTTAAGACAATTCTACACATGGCCAATTTTACTATCCAGGTTTTCTAGCCCATGACGATATGCTACATTCGCTCTTCCTAGATGGATGGTTGGATAGCTGTACTTTTATAAATGAATTTGACTGACAAGGTGCTAATTTAATGCTGAGGGCGGTGATAGTTTTTCCAAAGCCCAGCGTCTAGGGCAACAAGTTGTCTCCACATTCCCTGCCGTTTTC